AAATAATATAATTTAATTATTAAATATGGGACGATTTTAAAATATAATTTTATTTCTAATTCATATAATTATAATTATTATATTTTTTTATTTCTATAATAATAATTTATATTAATAATTAATAATATTATTATTATTAATTTATATAATGTAAAATGTTTATATTAAAGAAACAAAATAATGAAAAATATGTAGTAAGTATCTCCGCGTCTCTACTATTGATTTATTTAATGTTGTTTACAATTTAATGTAAAAAATTAACTCTTTAAACAAGTTACATGACTAAATTATAAGCATTTCATAAAGAAAAATAATACAAATATTTTTCCCACTTATTTTTACATTTAAACTGTACAGGATCTGATGCAGCAAGGTCATTTGACTTGTACACTCTGTGACAGATTGCCCACTAGGCACGTGAGGCACATGCCTAGAGGTTCTGGATTTCGGGGGCCTCGAAAGTAGAAAAAATAGATCAGTTTTACCGTTACAACTGTATATCGTAAAAATAAATAAATAAATAAGAATAATCCAAAACTATTTAGAGGAATTCCAATCTTCTGTGTCTAGGAGCCAGAAAAATCTTAATCCGCCGTCTATCGTTTAGTCTTTACATAAAAAGAGTGATAAAATTAAGGTTTCTTTTAATAAGCAGTTTAATATCTGTTTTATTCTTATATTTTTATGGCTTTCGAGGAAGAATGGAGATCCATATGACTACTTGAAAGCCTATTGTAACTGGATCAGGTTTTGCATATTACAGAATTCCGTTAAATTTCGTTTAGTAAATTAATTACAAAACTTCAAAAATTTTAAATTTTGATTTAAATTTATATCGGTAATGATCTAAGCGCTTTATTCTTAATGCATAATCTATTACGCAATGAGCATTACAATAGAAGATAAAGTAGGAAGTAGTTAGGGTGACCATACGTACAGAATTTCTCCAGTTTTTAAACCCTCAAAAATAGAATAAAAATTTAAATAGAACCATTTTATAGATCTTATAATGCAATTTAACCAATCATGGGCGTCTGCAGAAAATTTTCCAATGGAGCAAAGCTTGAAAATAAATAATTACATTAATAAATTTTTATTTAATTATTTAATTTTTAGGGGGGTTTCCCACAGTAGATTATAGAATGTAGCATTGCATCAAAGCGTTCTATGGTCGAGGGTGTAAAATTACACATCTCAATCACTTTTACGATTATAATTTGTGGAAGTTTTTATTCCATTCCAGGGAAGGGCAAATGCCCGTTTGACCCCCTATGCGGACGTCCATGTAACTAATTTATAGGTCACTCACTCTTAAAAACTGTGCCAGTTTGGGCGATAAACAATATGTTTTAGTAGGATGAGTATGTAATAACCATTGTTAGTACATTGTACTGTACAATGATTGTTAGATCCTATACCTACTATTAATTAAGAGTAATAAAATAATAGAATTTCTTCTCAGTTGTTTGTCTAGTATAAATGATCTTTTACAATTACATTTTACATCACAATATAAAGCACAGCAATTCTAATTAAACAGTTTTTAATTGATGAAATAAAACTTTTCTAATTAATAGACAATAACAATAGTTTATTTTATTAATTAAAATGGAAATATTCTAAAGGATTAAAATTTGAAGTTTATTTTATAATATCTTATTTAATCCATTAAAAATAAAACAGATAATAGTATTTAAAATAATCATATACATCTGTTTATTATTGAAGCTAAATTTTGGTTTAAAAATTAAAAGTAATAAAAATGTATATATTTTTTGTTAATTCTTCTTTAATTAAAATTCAATTGTAAGTTATATTTAAATATTTCAGATAATTAATATACATCTGAGGAATATGGAGGATATAGGAAGAAAGCCAGTATTATTTTAATTAGAATTATATGGTCATTAAAGTTGGATTAATCATTAAGCTGCTTAAGTAAGACCAAATTTTATTTTTAAATGTCTGTACGTACTGTAATTTCTGCTTATATCAGTTGCTAGGTTTGAATGTTTAAAAATATTTTAGAAAAATAAATTTTTTGATATTTTTTGATATAAAATAACTAAATAAAATGAATATATATATATTCAGTTTATTTAGTAATTGTAAAGTTATGAATAATAGAAAGTAACAGGTGTTTTTTTTAAATGTTTATTTTCTCTCTCAGGGTCACTTAAAGAGATGGACAGGTTAGATAATTTTTTATTTGTGACCATTGCTGATGCTTCGGATATTTCCTTCAGATATGAAGATCTAAAAAGTTTAGTTTATGAAAAACATATGAAAAATGGTAGGTTTTTTCTATATTTTTCTATGAAAAGCGTTGTTTTTCTCGAAAAATAATGAATTAAAGCTTTCAAGTAGAATATTTATACTGTATACAGAGCCGTAAACAGGCAGGAGCAGAGAGAGCACATTGTCAAGGCGGCATTGTTACGTGAGAAAACAGTTTTCTATGAATTTATTAAATTCATAGAAAACTGTCATATACGAGTATGAAAAACTATATTATGAAATGCAATATGAATTATATTATTTTTATAATTTTTAACTTTGTAATAGACTAATGAAAGACTCATCCAAAAGGTGCCTTAAGTTGGCCCCTGGTACCAAATGATTTCTTTAGTTACGACCCTGACTGTATATATTATCGCATTACTTTCGGACAGATTTATATATATATAAATTATTATAAGATTATTTATTTATATTCCTAAGATAAATAACACAAAAACTTTGCTTTTTATAGGCTATATATAAGAAAACGATAAAATTTATTTTGTTAACGACTTGGTCTTGTGTAATTGGAAAATGTAATTTTGTTTATTAGACATGAAAGTATTTAAAGAAAGAATTCGATTTTTACATATCAAATGGCCAGACTATTCTAACAGTTGTTATGTTAAATAGTGCAAAACACTTTTTGATGATGCAAATAATAAATTATGGTATTTTGTACATGTAAAGTCTCTGTCGAACATAACTGATGCAGGGGAAAAAAGGATATTATTTTATAAAACAATTCATTTATTAAGTAAAATATATAATAANGGGAGCATTTCGTCACAGAACCAAAAGGGGTCTTCTAGAAAGGGACATCGACAAATTGCTGCGAGTGTTGATGAATTATAAAAGGAATTTAAGACGACGAAAAATGAATTAAGATTTTTTTAAACACCGTACAGTTAATAAAAAATATATTTAAAATTTCTTTACTACGGGGACATCAACAAGTCAAAAGGCCTGAACTCTGGACACTTCGAAAACCCTGACTATGCGGAATTATTGTTTATAAAAAAGCACAAAATAAGACGTTGCCGAGACCTAATTCTTTTTTATACTGTATAGAAATAAAAACAACAAATAAAACAAAATGTAAACAGATTTAAATAACCTATTTTAAATCAATTTTGTCAACATTATTTAAAGTTAGTCAATACTGTAGTCCAAAAATATTTTTGAATTTAAAGAATTTTAACTGATTTAACCATTTTATTGTTTTTAATAATTTTTTATTATTGACTATAAGGAATTAATACATTTTATTTTTATTAAACTTTTCCATTAATATTATTTTGTATATTTATTGTAAATATGTAATTGGCATATCTATATATAGCTTTATATATTGGTTTATGCTTGACAAAGATCCATCAGTGGCCAAGTTCTGTTTCCGGAACACTGGGAGTTCGGTCGTGGGTTTACGCGTGGAGTTTTCCGGGTTTACTCCACGTCTGTAACGTCTGGATAGGGCCAGTTACCCTTAAAAAGACCTCCCGGAAAGCATTCCCCTAGACAGATCGCCCAAGTGTTGCGTTACCATAAACTTAATAAAAACAAAAAACAAAGAAACGCTTGACAAATGAGCTAGCCACATGAAGTTGTTTGGGCTTTCTTCACGTGTCTAACCAGTAAATAGGGGCCAGTTTCTCATAAAGAGTTCTCTAGGGAGGCATCTCCCTTGGTACCAGTAGATCGCCCATGTGTTGCGTTGCGTACAGTACTTCACCAAACTAAACTGACGCATTTTATGCAGCCGTAATGCAAAATTTGTACTTTCATAAAAGCCTTCAATCGCTATCTTGTTTAAATTATCCTTTATTCCGCTTAATCTGCATTTTTTACCATAAAATTAATTTATTATTAACAATCGTTGATATTCCAAAATAAGACTTGAACTTTGCCAACTATTATTATAAGGTACTAGCAAACAACGCTATTATTACAACAAAACTATTATAAATGTATAACACTCCCCCGTGGGGGGGAATTTTTCGAAAAATCCCTTCTTAGTGTACATTCTCTTGACGTACCCTATTAAAACGCAATCAAAAACGCAAAAAAAAAAACCGCATCTAAAATAGTATAAATAGAAGCAGAGTTCTTTACCGTAAGCCTTAATCCTAACCATCTCCCTTCAGTGGGGGGGAATTTCGACACTTATATTATATAAAAACACGTGTGTATTCGAATGCAGCGTTGTGTGAAAATTTCAAAGGAGTCGGTAGGAACAAACGAACATTACATTTTTATTTATATAGATAGATAGAAGATGATCTGCTTTAGTTCATTTTCACAGAAAAGCATAATGCCTCACAGAAAAGCAAACTTAGGG